GTATATGTTATATTTGTTAAGAGAACATTTCTGCCTGTTTTTATGAGGATTTGCATGGGTATTATGAAGCATTATTCTCTGGAATTTTTTATTGTTAGGGAGTGTGTCTCTCACTGCCTGAGCCACATGCGTGAGCCACACAAGTAGCCGCAGTGGTGCATGTGGCAGCGTCCCACTACTTTTCGAGTGCTGACACCGCTGTCAGTCAGACAGTAATTGACATAATGGGATTGTCAAGCTCTACAACACCACTGCAGTCGATCATTCTTCTGTGTTAGTACTACACAGGAACACAGTCCGTGTCCTCATCCTCTTCCGCTCTCTCTCTTGTTTCTGGCTCAGAATTACTCTTTTCCCTTAAGCCAAGTTTATTTAGAAAAATCCATGCCGCTGGGGGTGACGAATATCCCATAAGCCCTTTGTACAACTTTTATTAACATGCAGTCTCATTGGTACAGTCATAATGATTGGTTATTTTTCTAATCAAGGCACAGCATGTCCGCACCTGCCTGACGAAATGCAGCGCTTGCAACCAGATGTTTAGTCTCTACTCAATATTTTAATTAGATCTTTGTTTCTACTCGCTGGTGGGTTGGATACAAAAATGTCTGAATTTCAGTGCAGTGTTAATTTTTACAGTTGTTTTTGGTTTTAGTCCTTTAAATACAGTCAATATTTTGTTATGTCATATTCATTAATTTTAGGCCGCTTTACTTAGATTAAAATGACATCTAATTTTAACACAAAAAAAATTTAATTGTTAAAAATGTACAAAATTAAAACAAATATTCAGACTTTCGAAAAAACATTTTAAAACCATCTATGTATAAACCTGAGCTCCAAACATTATTCATCAATTGTATATAAATTATATTGATTATTATCAATTACTATCAATTATATTGAGTACAGTGTTATTGAGTCCTGTTAATCTTTATGCTATAGTAATTTATTTTCCACGTAGAGCATAACTATGGTGGACCAGTAGTGCACAACACATCAGAAAGAAGCCGCAACACAACAAATTTATCACAACACAACTGAAACAAGTCGCAATACAATGGAAACAAGCAGCAACACAGCGGACACAAGTCGCAACACAACGGAAACAAGCCGCAACACAACGGAAACGAGCCACAACACAACAAAATGAGCACAACACAACGGAAACGAGCCACAACACAATAAAATTAGTCCTGTGCATTGTGTTGTGGCAATTGTACACAATAAAATGAGCACAACACAACGGAAACAAGCCACAACACAATGGAAACGAGCCGCAACGCAACAAAATGAGCACAACACAACGGAAACAAGCAGCAACACAACGGAAACGAGCCGCAACACAATAAAATGAGCACAACACAACGGAAACAAGCAGCAACACAACGGAAACGAGCCGCAACACAATAAAATGAGCACAACACAACGGAAACAAGCCACAACACAACGGAAACGAGCCGCAACGCAACAAAATGAGCACAACACAACGGAAACAAGCAGCAACACAATAAAATTAGTCCTGTGCATTGTGTTGTGGCAATTGTATTGTGTTGTGGAGATTTCGATGTGTTGTGTACTACTGGTCCACTGTAGCATACTCACAACGTGACGTGCATATTCTGGCCAGTGCATCACTTGTGCATTTGCATCATTTTGTGCTGATTTAAGTTGTAAAATTATATTTATGTGCTGTATATGTCTGATTAATCTTATGGATATGATTTAGGTGAGTTAATTAACCCAGTGGTTCCCAACCCTGGTCCTGGAGGCACCCCAACACTGCACATTTTGCATGTCTCCTTTCTCTGACACACCAGTTTCAGGTTTTGGTCTCTACTAATGAGCTGATGACCTGAATCAGGTGTGTTTGATTAAGGAGACATGCAAAACGTGCAGTGTTGGGGTGCCTCCAGGACCAGGGTTGGGAGCCACTGAATTAACCCTCTAATAATGGGGTTCAGTTTTCCAGTGTTCATTCACTGTTCAGCTTCAACTTACGAAGCTCAACAAAGTCAATCCACAAATTCCTGACATAATTGGTTTATTTGAAACAATCATATTCTTTCTAGATTTTTTTTTTTTCAAAAACATTATTTCATTGTTAATGTCATGTGTGTTAAAGGGGTCATATGATGTTGCTAAAAAGAACATTATTTTGTGTATTTGGTTTAATGAAATGTGTTTATGCTGTATAAGGTTCAAAAACACATTATTTTCCACATACTGTACATTATTGTTTCTCCTCTATGCCCCACCTTTCTGAAACGTGTCGATTTTTACAAAGCTCATCGGTCAGAAAA